CAAGAACAGCTCTTATCAGAGCTAAGGCTTGCCCAAGGTCATCCAGCAGCTGCAGGGGGAGGAGTGGGGAACCAAACCCGGTTCTCCCAGATTAGAGTCCGCGCACTTAACCACGACACCAAACTGGCTCTTTCCAGTATCTTGCTTTCCCTGTGGAGCCACCCCCGTAGAGCAGGGATCCCTTTTCCTGGCGCCCGCCAAATGTTTTTAGAAAGTGGGGGGAGCCAGGGATAGCTTTTGCCCAGCAAGGCTTCTGATTGGCCTTTGGAGACTGGATGGGCTGTCCAGATTTTTAAAGACGTTGCTTCAGCAACGGCTGCCATCACAGCACAAGGATCTGCACTGTGTGCGTGAAGGGAAGCTGCAGCGGCCATTTTGTAGCTTGGCTCCGCCTACTGCGTGCGACCAAAAATATGGCTGGGCCCACCACACCGTGTCGGAATTCCCAAGGAGCCCTGAAGGCCAAAAGGGTTGGGGAACACACACACACACACACACACACACACACACACACCGCCATAGAGGAGTTTGGCAGTCCTTATTTACTGGCAACCGCCATGAAAGGGAGCCCCTTCTAATACCCAACCCTGGAGATGGAGGCAGGGACTGAGAGGGGCTCGGGGGCTGAATGCTTGTGCCCTGGGCACGCACGGGGCAAGGTGGTGTCTGAATACTGGCTCGGGCAATCGGTGGAATCCCCTACTAAAACTTTTCTTGGATTGTGCCGCTTCAGGCGTCAGCTGCAGGGGGTAGTTGCTCATTGAGAGCCAGTTTGGTGTGGTGGTGAAGTGCGCGGACTCTAATCTGGGAGAACCGGGTTCGATTCCCCACTCCTCCTCCACTTGCAGCTGCTGGATGACCTTGGGCAAGCCCTATTCTGTCAGAGCTGTTCTCTCAGGAGCAGTCCTCGAAAGCGCTCTCTCAGCCCCACTGACCTCACAGGGTGTCTGTTGTGGGGAGGGGAAGGGAAAAGGAGTTTGTGAGCCGCTCTGAGATTCCAAGTGAAGGGCAAGGGGTATAAATCCAATCTCCTCTTCTTCTTCAAGAGCAGTTTCTGTCAGAGCTCTCCCAGCCCCACCTACCTCACGGGGTGTCTGTTGTGGGGAGGGGAAGGGAAAGGAGTTTGTGAGCCGCTCTGAGACTCCGAGTGAAGGGCAAGGGGTATAAATCCAATCTCTTCTTCTTCTTCTTCATTGGAAAGATTTGGCCCACCCAGAACAGCCTTGGTGCCTATACTGTACCTGTGAATTGGGAGTGGGAGTCAGCCCAGCGTCATCTTTGGGCAGGATTTTTCCCCGCTGGAGAAGCGTTCAAACCCAGGACCCCCCTCCCTTCCTGCAGTCACTACAGCCTAGGAAAAGCTGTTTCTTTTCTTCTTTTTGGAAGGTGTAAATTGGCCGGACATGCACGCACTTTTCACAGTGAAGAACACCAGAGACAGGCAGAACATGGAATGGGATCTGATATCTCTACAGCCGGCTCTTGGACCCAGCTTCCCTGTTGCCCGTCCCCGGCATCTAGGGTATACTGCTGCTGAACATGGAGGTTCCATTTAGCTGTTGCAACCAATGTTCCCTCTAAGTTGTGGAGTCTTGTGAGCAAAAATTCTACTTTGTGAGCTACCGGCATTCAAGTTGTGAGCGAGCGATTTTGCTACTGCATCAGTTAGTTTGCTCTGGAGCCATCCTTCCTGAGCTAAGGCAAAAATGTGTGAGCCAGAGGCTAAAAAACTGTGAGCGAGCTCACACTAACTCAGCTTAGAGGGAACACTGGTTGCAACTGATGGGTGTGTTTCCTTCTCTGAATTTGCCTAAGAGAGCCAGTTTGGTGTAGTGGTTAAGTGTGCGGACTCTAATCTGGGAGAACCGGGTTCGATTCCCCACTCCTCCACTTGCACCTGGCTGGATGACCTTGGGCAAGCCATAGTTCTGTCAGAGCTGTTCTTGGAAAAAGAGCAGTTTCTGTTAGAGCTCTCTCAGCCCCGCCTGCCTCACAGGATGTCTGTTGTGGGGAGGGGAAGGGAAAGGAGTTTGTAAGCCGCTCTGAGACTCCCTTGGGTAGTGAAGGGCGGGGTATAAATCCAAACTCTTCTTCTCTTCTAATTGCCTTTTGAGTCACTCAGAAAGTTGCCACAGCCACAAGTTGTGGCTATGAACTCCAGAAACGTACCCTTCTCTAGATTAAAAAGTCCTTTTTGGCTGGTTTTTTTGCCTTGAGTCTGTACTTCAAGGCCCGAGGACAATTCCAGTGATGTATGCCAGAGCAGATTCGGGAAGATTTCGGTTTAGGCCTTGGCTTACTCAGGGCCCACAGGCTAAAATCCCTTTGGTTCTTGTCAGTGGCCCTACCACAGCAAGGCTCAAATACCTGCAACAAAGGAGAGAACTGAAGTTTATCCCTGATCTGACTCGGCTGGCAGAGATGTCCCTCCAGTTCCTCCCCTGCTAGAAGAACCCCTGGCTGTGTGCAGGCTTGAATACCTGCCGCAAAGGAGGAAAAGGATCTTATCGCAGCGGCCAAGAGGTCCCCCAGCCTTCCTCTCGTCTCTTAAGTTGCTTTGTCTGCTGTTCTCCGACGTGAGCCCCCGTGTTGTTCATCCCCAATTGCTGTTTGCCGCCCTAGGTGCCAGTGACGTTTGACGAGGTCTCGGTCTACTTCCCCGAGCAGGAGTGGGGGGATCTGGACGAGTCGCAGAAGGAGATCTACAAGAACGTGATGAAGGGCAACTACGAGTCGTTGGTCTCACTGGGTAAAGGGGGTAGCCGGGGTCGGTTGTGTGTGCAGATCTAGGCCATGAGGCCTGGGACGTGGTCCGAAAGGCTCACCGTGCCTTGTGGAAGCCAAGCAGGACTGGGCCCGGAGGGGGGACATCAAGAACCCCCCCCCCAGGTGTTGCCTTAGACTTGTACAGAACGGAGAAAGGATTGAGATAGAGGGGTGGAAGGTTATCCAGACAAACCACCATTCTGCACGCAGGAAATGCAAGTTCTGCATCTTTTTTTTATTTTAATTTTTATTTATCAATTTTCCAACTACATTTTTAAACAGTTTCATATACAAACATATATTCTTTAGAGCCATTTTCCAGTTTCTATCCATTTATAAAATCCTAACCATCTTTCAGCAAATATATCCGTTTTCCCCTTGAGCCCGTTCGCGGGGAGGGCGGGGTATAAATATCATAAAATAAAATAAATAAAATAAAATAATATCGAATTTAACTTATCTATTTCCACTACTTCCATCAGTTTAAATTTTATTTCTTCTAATCGTGGTGGATTTTCATTTTTCCAATATTTGGCCCATAATATTCTCGCTCATGTAATTATACATGAAATAACATACTTTTCATTAAAGGTAAGCGTATCCGGCATTATATTTAATAGATATATCTCAGGCATCAAATCGAGCTTTACGTTTACCACTTGATCTATTATTTTCTGTACAACTTTCCAATATTTCTGAGTCTTTCCACACCGCCACCACATATGGTAGAATGTTCCAACATTTAACCTACATTTCCAACATATGTTCGAGCAGTTTGAGTAACATTTTGCTAACCGCTCTAGAGGCCAGTACCATCTGTGAAAAACTTTGAAAACATTTTCTCTATAGCTTGTCGCTCTCATATGTTTGGAAGATTTCCAAATCTTAGACCAGTTTTCTTGAGTATTATTACGCAAGTTCTGCATCTGTCACACATTTTATTTGTCGGCTTTGTTCATTTATAGCCCACCTTTTCCTCACAGTGGGGGACCCAAAGTGGCTTGCATGCCAGTGTTCCCTCTAAGCTGAGTTAGTGTGAGCCAGCTCACAGTTTTTTAGCCTCCGGCTCACTCATTTTTGTCTTAACTCAGGAAGGAGGACTCCAGAGCAAACTAATTTATGCAGTAGCCAAATTACCAGCTCACAAAGTAGAATTTTTGCTCACAAGACTCCATAGCTTAGAGGGAACATTACTTGCATCGTTCTCCCCTCCCCTGTTTTATCCTCACAACGACCCTGTGAGGTAGGTGAGGCTGAGAGGGGGTGACTGGCCCAAGATCACCCAGCGAGCTTCCGTGGCAGAGCAGGGATTTGAACGTAAGCCTCCTGGATCCTAGTCCGACGCTTTAACTGCTACCCCGTGCCGGCTGTAATTGCATTATTTATTTATTTGTGTTTCGTATTTGTATCCCGTCTACCCCGCGAGCGGGCTCAGGGCAGGTCACATCGTCTTCAACAAAACAATAAGGTTTAAGAACACAATATAAACATTTAAAATCAGTCGTTATCAGGGGTCATTTCGTAGAAAAGGAGGGGCAGGAGCTCATTA